CGAAGAATTTCATTCACTTTGCCCTCAGCAATCTGGTTATGCTTTCGATGGATTAGGTAAGGTATCTCCTCTGAACCATAATATAAAACTGAAACCATTCTATAACTAGAAACCAAATAATAGGAGAATTTCAGTTTTATACTAAATTTTGATGTATGTTGACAAAATCACCAATCCTTTGTCCAACCACAGTCTGTTTGTAGTAATGCTGCTTTGCCAGGGTTTTAGCTGAGCTGTATGAATAATTCGTTCACCAGATGGCGTTAGTTGTCTTGCCACTGTAGCCGCTGTCCCAAACCTTAGTTTCGTATTGAGGACTGCTTTGAGCTTGGAAGTAGGAAGTCGGGAGACCGTGCTGCACTGATGATGGGTCTATTAGTCCTGAAACGGATCTACACCTACCTTACTTATCAATCAACATTTCTCTTTGAGAGAAAATTGTGCTCAAATGAGTTTTTCCCTCTAAAATGAAAACCTTCAATCCTTTGGAAACCAGAATTATAATTTTTTTATTTATTTATTAAAACTTTTGTACATGGGAGCCCCATTATTAGGGCTATGGCACAGGTCAAGAAACACTATACAATAATTAAAAATATAAATTACAACTGTAGATTAGTTGGTGGTTAGAACGTTACACAACAGATGAGTTTAGAAACTCGTTCAAATTATAAAAAGCCTTGCTCAAAAGAAGATCGCGAAGTAAATTGAAAAACTTCCGGATATCACCGTCGCGGAGTTGGATAATAACTGTAATGCTCAATGGATCCTGTTATAATGCAGTTTCAAGCTAGAAAAGACAGTGAATAAAGCACCTTCAGACTTTTTTAATCGTTGCATTTACAAGCTTTGCAACATCTGAAGTCTGCATTAATCAATAAGTAAACTTAAAGAGTCTAAAATCAATTCTTAGGATTCTCAAGTGTCTCATCAACTTCTACATTTTATTTTTTGTTTTTTCAGATATAAATGAGTGCCAGACTATGCCAGAGCTATGTCGCAATGGCCGTTGTATCAACACTTTGGGATCATATCGATGTATCTGTAATAAAGGTTTCAGACCTGATCATGGAGGAACCCATTGTAGAGGTAAATATTCTTACTAAGTTTATTGTAAGTCTCAAATTAAAAGTCAAACCCTCCCAGGGTTTTTAAGCGTGATATACTTCAGATTACACTGAAATAATTGCTATAATTTTTGTCTTTATTTACGCAGTAATTATGAGGTTGCGATTTTTGTTAAAACCAACTCCAAAAAATGAAAAATGTGTCGAGATGTAAATGCTTATGAATGTGTTTTTATTTACCAGTTTATCTCTTCCTCTTTGATATTTACTAATTCTAATGTATTTGTATTTTTTTAGACGTGAATGAGTGTGATTCTCGTCCTAGCCCTTGCGATATGGGTTGTGAGAATACAATTGGAAGCTACATCTGTTCATGCCCACCTGGATTGACGCTAAGCCATGACAATAGGACCTGTGTTGACATTGACGAATGTGCAACCGGAGAGCATATTTGCTATCAAAAGTGCACCAACACCCACGGATCTTATCAGTGCTCTTGCTTACCTGGCTACAAGCAAGTCGGCGACCACTGTATTGGTTAGTATAAAAATTATCTAATCTCCTTTTCTGTACCTGTATGATAATGGATCAAGATAAAATGAGGAGGAGAGGACTTTAGTGCCAATCGATAATATGCTGAATTATCCAATGTTTTGCAATCAAATAGTGTGCGATAAATGCAATATGAAAAACTTTTGCCACCACTGTTATCTCTAGTAGTAATATTTGAACTTAAAGCTTCTGTCCCTGAAGATGGCTTTCGGCCAAAAAGCTTCTGGCCTATTTTTAATGTAAATAAATGTAAGTTTCCATGAAACTATGCAATTCTTTCATCTCCTAGCACTAGCTACCATACCAAAAAGTCTTTCAAATTAAGTGCTACTAGCTTAAACATCTGCAAACTGTTTTCTAAACTCAATTTTTTGTTCACATGAAGCAGATTTAAATGTTATCTCTCTTCATTATCTTCAATGCAAGTAAACACAGTTGTCACTGATCCCCAAATTTCGTAGGTATAGACGGCAAATAAAACTAACATGTCTCCAGCAGACTGGACTGTTGTCAACCCGCTTCACTGTGATTAATTCACCATATTATAGCAGGGATTTCCAATTTTCCCCAGTCCATGGTCCTTTAAACTTTTTTAAAATTAATTTAAAAACAGCTTTGAACAATGTAGTGAGTACATATGTACCTGAATCATGAAATCCGAATACCTAGGAGCATCACAAATCATGAGATCAGTTTTTTTTTTTTTTTTTTTTTTTTTNTTTTTTTTTTTTTTTTTTTTTTTTGAACGCTCCATGATTCATTCAATATTTTTGTTTTACAGATATTGATGAGTGCGCCAACCACAGCGCAATTTGTCCTCCACCAGGGAATTGCATCAACACCCTTGGAAGTTATAGGTGCCTATGTCCTCTAGGCTACAAACTAGATTCTAGTGGGACGTACTGTACAGATATTGATGAATGCTCTGATGACAATAAGTGTCAGAATAGTTGTCAGGTATAATAAATTAGATTCTCTATAATTTTTCAATGTTTAAGTTACTTCTGTAACAAATCTACCATTTACTGTAGAGGCCTACAGATATGCAACATCAATTCTCTAATGGAGAATTTGCAGGTGTCTGAAATTTGATGAATTCCGTGTTTGAATGGACGCAACCAAGTGAACTGGACACAAGGATACCCTTGGTTCATAAATTGAACAATTATTGAAGGAGATATGACAAAATGGTCTAATCTGCTAAAATACATGCGTTTAAATGGGAAATGCTGCCAGATGACGTCACTAGGTGGCGCATTTTCTCACTTTTAAATCTAATTATATTCTATACCCCATAGCCAAAAAAAAAATTATAAAAAATACTGCAAAATCAGCTCTTGAGGCAATTTCAGATGAAGCAATAAAAAAATATGCATGTAAATTCTCCATTCTGCTCAACCACGAAGTGCAATGTCGACCCAACTATATCAATTTTGCCAAATCAATCACATTTTTCTGAATATATCTATATGCCTGGCAATGTATTCTAATTTTGACCAACTCATCTACAATAATTGGCGCTGATCGTTAGCCGATCTGCTTAATCTTTGTGCTTCAATCCTCCTCTACGCTTCAAGACTTTTTCTCGTTCGTGTAAAATCAATGTGAATCATCCTTTTTGCTAAATTTAAGAATTCAATTCCTCCTCTTTTTCAGAACTTAATGGGAAAATACAAGTGCGGATGTGCAGAGGGATTTATCCAGCATGCATACCTCAATCAGTGTCTTGATGAGAACGAGTGTGCTCAAAATCCTTGTGGAAATCAAACCCGATGTATCAACACTGTGGGTAGCTATAGGTGTGACTGTCCACCTGGCTTCCAATTTGATGAAGGATCTTTACTCTGTTTACAGGTAAGTTTATTTCTTTCCATACATGATATTTATTTACTTTTTGAGATCAAAATTTACTTTTTGAGATCAAGCCAAACAAATCGGCTCATTTCAATTTCAACACTCCATAATTTGGCATACCTGCTTACAGGCCCAGATGGTGTGGTCTCTATTTTTCTTTTTCTTTTTCCCCCCTCCTTCTTGGAACTCGGAATTTGGCGCTGGGGGCAGCTGCCCCTTCTGCCCCATAGGGTAATCTGAGCCTGCCTGCTTATCTCATTTTGAAACCCTTTTTGTGTTAGTTGGATTTAATCATTAGGCATAGGTCCACAAATATCTCATCAGAGAGAAATTACGATGTTGTGAAAGAAAATAATATGTATCTACTCTTACTTAATTTTTTCATGGAAAACCAATTAATTGAATGTCAAATTTTTAAATGATTTTTCGTACAGTGAAAAACAATACTTCCTCTATCTGTGAGGGGAGCGAGAAAGTAAAATGATGAGAAATTTCATGAAGTATAAAAGGATTATTTTTTTATGTTGAAATAATATGACAGGAAGTTTACTACTCTGAAACCAAGGAATGTGTTTCTCTGGTTTCATCACCAATAAGGAAATACATATTTAAAACGTATTCAGTGTGAAGAATCTCTCTTTTTACCTCTCAAATATTTTTGTGTTTACAGCTCAGTAAAAATTGCCTCGATAGTCCTTGTGAATTTGGTTGCAACGCGATAGGCAGCAGTGGATTTAGCTGTGGGTGTCCTTCAGGATATTATCGTATTGGCGAGGTAAGGATCTCAATAATTTTTTCCTTAATTATATGTCCTATTTTGTATTGATCTCTTTAAGAGGCAAAATACCTCCTCTCAAATTACTGTAGTTTAACATAATTTTAAGGAGTCTGGAGTCATCCATAGTTTTGTAGAGGCCAAATTGATTTTTGGTTAAAAATTTTTGCCGTAATTAATATTACACTTCTTTGCAGTCCTATCACAGCAAACAATCGCTGTGGAAGTTGGAAGCAAGCAGCAATACAAACTCCAGGCTTCTAGCAGTTGATCCTCTACAATTTTATACTCCCATCAAAGCTTTAATGTCCAAACACCAAATCAAGAAGATAAAAATGAACATTAAACAGCAGCTGTGGAATAAAAGGCTGTATTTGTACAGAATTACTGACCGTAATACTCTCTGTATCAACCTGAACAAAAAGGGTCTTGATGAGTTAGAACTCATCTCTTTTATTTTTCTCTCCGTCAGTTAGTATACAATTTTAATATTAGATGTAAAAACAAGCTAACGTTCTGTGGAGAATTGCCAGGCATTGTTTCACTGATGGAGTAAAACTACAATATTCAATATGTTCATTTTCTCTTGACTTTAATAACTGCTTCTTTGTTCAGAGAATTTCGAAGTTCCAAATGAAGCAATCTGCATGGGTTTTTTTCTTTCTTCGTTTTTCTTTTTCACCTCTGATAATATGTTCATTTTATTCAGTTCTGAACGTCATTGAGAGTTTTTTGGTTTTGTTTCAGGGTCATTGCCTATTGACCATTAGCCCATTTGGTAGCAACATTCCAATGTATCCAATCAAAC